GCTAGCTGCTCCCGTGTCGATGAGTGCTTGAAAAGTTACATTCTCGCAGCTACAATTTATGAAAATTCTGGAGTCCGGAAGAGATGAGGTCGAACTTACTCCTTTTGTTCGACCTTCCGTCCGTTTCCCGGAGGATGGCAAAGGCAATCCTTAGTTAAAATACCCTCTTTTCCACAATATGAACAGAACTTCTTAGGCCTGTTTCTGCAAAATGGACGACGATGACCCTTCACCCCACATCTCCAACAATGAGTCTTGGGGTTATAAGGTTCCTGAACCTCAGCAACCTCTACAGCTGACTTCTTCGCTCCCTGCTCTTCCTTGTTGATTGCATTAAGAGTTTCCGAGATTTCCTCAGCTCGTTGTATCAACGTGCTTACACTATCAATCTCTTATCTCCTAATGTGCAGACGGAACACCGGTTGCATATTCTAATAAATCATGTCGAGTTCTCTAATCAAATTGTAGGCTCCATGTCTCCTCATTAAAGTCCTAATACAATTTACAAAACTCCTGATATTTTCACCCTTAGCTTGATGTTTGTTGGCTATCTGCAACTCCAAGTTCCTTAATTCCCCCAGTGATAAATAATACCGCCTTAGAGACAGAGTCAATTGTTCAAGAGAAGTAATTGACCTGATTTCGTTACGGTACCACAAGAGGGCATCCCCTCTTAATAATTCAGGGAATCCTCGCAGTAGTTGAAGATCGGTGAAACCATATGCCGCCTGAAGTTCCTCCACACGTTCCAAGAATGCATAAGGATCCTTTCCATCAAAGCAACAATTCCATTTTCTCATGCTCTCTAATACGTAGGTGTCACTGACAATAGGCAAAAGCGTAGAATTTGCCCTTGGAGCTGTAATAGGAGCATGTGTGGTCTGGTTGATTTGTTGGGTAAGTCCAGCTGAGGCACTACCTGAAGGTACTCCTGGTCCTAGTGCTGGTTGGAAATTATCCTCTTGAACCTCCTCTTCCAGTGCTAAAAGGTCTCTTGATTTATCTAATTCCTCCTTATAATCCTCAGGATCCTCAGTAAGATTCAACAACTCAGGTTGAGATCTTATGTAAGATACTAAACGTTGACGAAGCTGAGCTACTGTACCAATATGATCGATATGATACTTCTTAAGTTCTTCAACTAACTGAATCTTTGGTAAGTCATAGATCCATTTAACTCCCATGATGCCTGATGATAATTATTAATAGGTCTTACTCGCAAGCTGGTATGAATGCTTATGATGCTGAAGGGTTGACTTCAGTCAATATATACTAGTGTCTCCCCTCCACATCACCCAAAGCCAGGTGGGGGTATTAAAAGCTTTGACTTGATTAGTTGAAAAACTAGGAGTGGTGGTAATTCACGAGAAAATTTAAGGTCTTAATCTGAGATCGGATTCTCAAAAAAAAAAATTTTCTTATAGGTTAATAAGAAAATGAGTTTAGAAAACTTTATATTTTCACACAGCAATCTCTGGTAAGTATGCCGCGTTCTCCACATCTTGAGCAAAATTTAATAGCATTGTTTTTACAGGACTGACGACGATGCCCTGAGCGACCGCAGCGCCAACAATCTTGACTTGAATCATACGGCCTTCCTGAATTAATTACTACGCGACGAGATTCTTTGCTTCTTAATATCGGATATCTACTCCAGAAAAGGTGTTCTTTATAGCGCCACTGAGTATCATCGTCTAGTTTCAAAAACGCCACTTTTTTCTCACACAGTTTATTCTCCAAAATCATTTCCGGAAAAACCTCCAAAAATTGCTGATCCGAAATATTTTTCTCCCTTTTCGCTACCATAACTCTCTGCATGAGTTCCCACAAACTCACAGATGGAGAAGAATATCCAACTTTCTCAAAAATCCAAAAAACTCAGTTGTTTGAGAAGGGCATAATGAAGTCTTCTTTCTTGATTTACAGGTGATTTTTCGATGAGTGGTACTGATCGATTAGAAAGAAATTTATTGGGACGCGGTCTTATATACTAATCCGCTTTACCCCTACTCTTTACCCCTTCCCTTTTTATTTCTTCTCCCACCATTTCCGATGGCATGGCAGCGACACGAGTTCTCCACCAAACTACAGCAAAATTTGTTAAACTAGTAATAAAAAAAAATTATACTTTCTTACATTTTCTTTTTTTTTAAAATTGAGTCAAAATTTCTGAACTGGGCCACCTAAAACAATCTTTTTAAATTTTCATTATGTCTATACATAATTTGTTACAGCCGGGTGATACAAAAACATTCCCGGAATGCATTTTCAAAAATTTTAATTTTTCAATTAGTTATAAACAATTGAACTTTAAAGTACCTTTTTAGAAAATTTACTATTTCTTCGGTGTTTTTTGATAAAATTTAAAAATATTTTGCAGAAATGTACAAAAATACTGCCTCTATTAATAACAATAAAACATTTAAAAATTCATAATTATTTATGCAAAATAAATTGTTAATTAATTAAACAATTAAAGTTTTAAGTGACTTCTGGACTAGTTACAAGAAAAATTCAAAAACTACTAAAATCTATTTTTTCTACACTTTAATTTCAAAAAAAAAATCTTAGTACCTTTAATAATTGAGCAAATGACATAATTTTAAAGAGGGGCGTGCAAGCGCTCGGACTGCCGCGGCTGCTGCGCTAGGACGCGTCGAGACACGATTATTCTTGAAAAAACGTTTATTTAATACGCTTTTCTTATGATTTGATTTTTATTAATTTTCGTTATTCCTTTTGCAATAATATCTATTTAATTAACGTTCGTATTTTTTGAAAATATATTCATTGATTTTTTGTACAAGAGTAAAAATTCCTGAAGTGTAACAGTAAATTTTGAGATTCACTGTATTTACTTGGTAATACATGAAAATGAAACATAATTATGAGATAATCAAATGCCTAGAAGAATTTTTCAAAAAAATTAAATTTCACTTAATTATAAACAATTGAATTTTTTGCAGTGTTTTATTAAAAAATTAATATCTTGGAACAGAATAAACGAATCGTTATAAAATTTGGTATGTATACTCAGAAAATGGTGTAGTTTCAAATGAAATAATTTAAAAATCAAATTGTTTAATTTTTGTAACTGTTATTGCAAATTTAATTGTTTACTTACAAAATAAACAATGTTCTTAACGTCGTAGGAAGTTTGTTCAAATTTTATCGTAAAGGATATTTTATAACGATTTCATAACCGTTTAAAAATTTATTGACCCGCAATTAGGAGCAAAGTTATTAGTTTTTTTCTGCCGGGCGGCACGTTTATTTACCGCGCGACACACTGCCCAGTGAGAAATTGCCAATAGACTTTAATCGGTCCAATATCGGTCCAATATTGGTTGCCGTGCTGGGCGCCGATTGACTCCCAATATTGGACCAATATGGGCTGATGCTTGGGATGTAACGGCATCGCCAATCATCGGTTGTCAATATTGGTCCAATATTGGCCGAATATTGGCAACCAAGAGAAAAAAATTTTTTTAAATAAATTTTTTTTAATTAAATAATAATAATAAAAAATTAATGTTTATAATTTTTGTTTAATATATTTATTTGTTTAATTATTTATTTTTAATAATTCATGTAAATAATAAATAATTTATTATTTATAAATTATAATTATTTAAAAATGCAGCAGCTATTAGAAAATAGCATTCTGCAAAAAAATTCTATCATTGAAAAATCAATGATAGGCGAGAGAAATCCGCGTCTTTAAATAGATTCGCTCAAATGCACATAGCGCCACAGTGTTTACAGTAGGGAATTAAAACTTTTCTGTCTCCCATGTCACGTGACAGGCCTGCGCTCCTCATTACTTTAAAGTGTTGCTGAATTTGTGTATCGGGGATTAATTTTTATTAATAGTGGGAATTGAGAGAAGGGAGGGAATGATCTTCAGAGGAGGCGCTTCATACAATTAAGATAGAACTTCACTTAGGTAAGTTCGTTTAATCTTATAATTGTATTACGCGCCTCCTCCTTCAGATCACCATTCGTAGATGTTTAAAGAATTAGAATTCAGCAATTTATTATTATTAGTATTATAAACTCATTAGAGCGAAAATAATTATTATAGAAGTGCTCATTTGAAAAAGAAAAACAAAATATGTATATCTTCATTTAGATTTTAGAATAGTTGTTGCAAATACTGCAGGATCTTCCACCAATTTAAGGTCATAGAATTTTGCGAAAGTTTGTGAGGATGTTGTCCATCCGGCTGTTTTTTTGATAAGGTCGATACGGACTCCGCTTCTTTTAGCTGCAGACGTAGCAGCGTGTCGAGTGCTGTACGGCGAGAATTTTGTTGTGTCGACTCCAGTTTCAGTGAGGATTTCTTTTATCCATCTACTGAGTGATTGTGACGATATTGCCTTGTAAGGTTTATTCCAAGATATAAAAAGATTTGTTATGTTTCCACGGATTTGTTTTGTCATATTCAAGTAAGCTTCGAGAGCCGAAGCAACGCAGATTGTAGGATCTTCTTTGTAGAATGGAAGGACCAGATTCGGTTGTAGCTTGCCTGGACCTGAGGTTTTCAGTTGAGATGGTATCTTGATTTCGATTCGATTGTCGGACCTTTCGACATCATTAATGTTGATAGCAGTTAGAGTTTGGATTCTGTGACCTGTTGTAAGGGCAAGAAGAATAGCCAATTTTTTCGACATTTGTTGAATCGAAATGCTGTCATTGGGATGCCATTTTGAAATTGCATCTAATACTATCTTAGGGTCCCAGGTAGAGTTGTACTTGGGTAAAGGTGGACGAAAACGTGCAACTCCTTTACAGAAACGTTTTACATCTGGGTTTTCTCCGACATGTGATCCAAGTATGAGGGCAACGGCTGATCGCATGGAGTTTATGGAACCATAAGAAGCTCCCTTTTCAACTTCGTCTGTGAGAAATTTGAGTATATCAGGAATATTAGCTGTGAAAACTGGAATATTGCTATTGTGGCAGAAATTCCACCATTTTTTTTAGTGCCACTTCATACTGCTTCAGAGATGATTTAGCAAGTGATGCGATACTCAGATTTATAGTCTCAGGTGCCATTCCTCTTAGAGAGAAGGCTTGTACGATAGTATTCCTCCCACCAGGGAAAGCTGATTCCATAGTGGATGATGCTCCCTGTTGGAAGAAGAAAGTAGTTTTTTATTAGGTTCGAAAATGATAGGAGAAGAATCAAACATTTTCATGCACTTGGGGAACCACGCTTGAGAAGGCCAATTTGGAATTACAATTATTCCTCTAGCACGATCGTTTTGGATTTTTTTTAAAACTTTAGGAATAATTGCAAAGGGTGGAAATGCAAAGAAAAAATATTTTCCCCAGTCTAGAGTAAATGCGTCTATGGTAAAAGAACTAGGGTCCTTTTTCCAAGAGACGTATTTTTTGCATTTCGCGTTGACTCTGCTTGCGAATAAGTCTATTTCGGGTTTGGAAAACTTTTTGCATATATCACTAAACGCCTCTTGCGATAAACTGAATTCGGTTTCTGGTTCCAGCCTTCGCGATTCGTGATCTGCAGTCTTATTTTTAGATGATGGTATGTATGATGCAAAGATGGTGATATTTCGGTGTTCGCACCATTGCCAGATTGTTTTAGCGACTTTGCTAAGGCTTTGAAATTGTATTCCGCCCATACGGTTAATATATGAGATCGCTGTGGTGTTGTCGATTCGAAGTAGGATGTCACAGTTTGTTCGATTTCTTCCGAAGCATTTAAGTCCAAAAAAGGCGGCTTTGAGTTCCAAAATATTAATCGGATTTTTTCTTTCCGATAAATTCCAGAAACCATACGCTTTTTCTTTTCCACAGCATGCGCCCCATCCTGATAGTGATGCGTCGGAGAAAATTTCTAAGGCGTATGTTTGGCTTCTTATAGGGTTGCAAACCGGCATAATATTTTGACTCCACCACTCGATATCTTCGTGAACGTGATTTGATAAAACTAAACGCGCCTCGTAATTACCATTTGTTTTTTGGAGAGCTAGAAATTTTTCTCTTTCTAGACTCTTCATATAGACCCATCCATATTTTGTTGCCTGGCACACCGATCCCAGAGTTCCTACCAAGGAAGCAAAATCACGGATTTTGTGTTTAGTATTTATTTTAAATTTAGTTAGTGAACTTTGAATCTTAACGCGTTTATCGTCGGGTATTTTTATTAGCATTTCAGCTGAGTCTAGGATAAAACCTAGATATTTTTGTCGGTGTGCTGGAATGAGGCTACTTTTCTCCTTGTTTATAATGAAGCCTAGCTGAGTCAAGAGTTGAGTCGTCTCTGCTATGTTTTTCTCGCATTCTCTTTTGGTGTTTCCAAATAGGAGAAAGTCGTCAATGTAGATAACTGACAATAAGCCGCGTTTTCTAAGAAGAGTTACTATGGGTCTCATAATTTTTGTGAAGACGTATGGAGCAGTGCTCAAACCGAAAGGTAAACAAGTGAACTCAAAAACTAAGTTTTCGAATTTGAATCTAAGGAATTTTCTACAAGATTCTGCAACTGGAACGAGATAGTATGCTTCTTTGAGATCTAATGTCGCTAGAAAACAGTTTGGCTGCATTAGATCTCGAGCAACTCGAAGATCTTCAATTTTGAAGTGCTCGGTACGAATAAACTCGTTGAGTTTTTTGAGGTTTAGTATAAGTCTTCTGAAACCATCTGCTTTTGAGGCTAGGAATATACTTGAGAGGAACTGTTCTTTGCATTCCTTAACCTTACGAATAGCACCTTTTTTTAAGAGTTTGCTGATATGGGGCTTGATTTGAATTTTTTCTTCTTTTGACCAACGTGGTTCCGCCAGGACATTACTTTGTATTGGGGTGCGAAAAAAAGGAATGTTATAACCATTAATCCATTGAAGGACAGTTTTATCAGAGACAAGATTGTTCCATGCGGATGCGAACTTTTTCAGTCGACCCGCATGTACACTTACCGGATTCGTTAGCGGCGTCTTGGAGGAGGGATGTCCGATTTCCTTGGCTGTTGGTGACGAGTGTATGACCTCTGCATCTGATTCGTTGGTTTGCGATATCCCCCCGTCCTCTGGAACTGGTTCCTTTGTTGTTGGCGGGGGGCTTTCGTGTTTTTTGAAGTCTTAGCAGAAGATAGCGAAGATCTGGCAGTTGGCTTCAAATCTTTTGAAGACTTTTCCAACGATTTTGCCGTTTTTAGGGCATCGGCAAGATTTTTTCCGAAAAGCCATTCGTCGGCTGAAGTAGCGTTAAGCGTTTCTTTTAACGAGGGATTCAGATTTGATGAAATAATGAGACGTCTGGTTGCAGTTTCATCATGTTGCACACCTATTAGAATCCTACCGATGTCACTGAGGTTCGTCAAGTGACTTATTGGATCAATGTTCTTATCAGATAAAAGACTTGAGATCATAGCTCCGATTGCGGAAAGACAGACAGATAATTTCTTCTGTTTGTCAAAAATCTTTTTGTCTCTGTTGATAATTGGATCCGTTAGAGTAGCTTTTATTTCCGCGTTTAATTTTGGCGGTTCTATAAAAACACAATTTTCTGGTGTAAGATATTTTTTATAAAGTGTTTTACGCTCTTCTTCTGGAAGTCCTTTTTGCAGGATTTCCTCCCAACGGACCACTATATCATTGTGAATCGCAGGCGCTCGTGGATTATCAGCATCTAGTCTCTTTCCTATTGCTTCTAAGATTTCAGGTACGAGAGATAAGTCTTGAGATTTGTCTGTACTTGTTTCGTTGCTTGAGATATTTTCTTTGTTAGGAGGCCCAGTCGAATTTTTATTTGTATTGTTGTCTATAACCTCATCAAGCTTGTTTTCCTCGTGTAAAAATGCACGTGACAAGTTTCCTGTATTATTTTCTAAGTTTCTAGATACGGACAGTGAGCGACTGTGCGAGTGACGAGAGCTACCTGAGCTGTCATATTTTGAACATTGACTATTTCGAGAGCAAGAACGCCTGTGTGACCAACTGTCTCTGCTAGACCTGTCAGATTCGGACGAGCTGGATCGAGATTTACCTGAAAAATACCGATTAAGTAAATTTTTAGATTCTGTCAAGTATCTTGTACTGATAGAAAAGGTAAGCAGTTGTTCTTGACAACGTGTAAGACTAGACACTATATTATAGGTTAGTCGATATTATTCGAGTGTGGCTTGCACACTATTCGGTCTGCTAGCAGGTTGAGAATATTTAGACAATGGTTGTGCTTGAAAACATGTTAAACTGAAGATAGTTTTATAGGTTATCTAGTAATGAAAAGTAAATTTTGTTGCTTAAACATTACTCGTCTTTATAACAGGATGAAAATATTTAATTTTCGAGTGGGAACTTGTCCCATAACGTGCAATTTATTTTTCAGCTTGGAAAATTGACAAGGAGTTATTTCGTTACTTGAACATAAAGATAACTATCCCATGAGACCGGTCACGTCATTCTTTAATTCACCTTTATATAAAGTCTCAAGATATTTGGGCCAAATATTAAACCAATTTACTTGCAATTCCCAACACATAGTAAAAAATAGTTTTGAATTAATTAAGAAAATTAGACATGTCAAGGTCCCGGACACTCATACACTCGTTTCATTGGATGCTATTGCAATGTTCTCAAACATAGATCCGGATTTGGTACTCCAATTGATTGAAGCTAAATGGAGTTTAATAAAACAGCATACCAATCTAAATTTTGAACATTTTTATAATGGAATAAAACTTTGTATACAGAATGCGTATTTCCAATATAACTATGAATGCTACAGACAAAAATTTGGCACCCCCATGGGCTCACCAATTTCGTCCTTTTTGGCAGAATTGGTTATGCAACATATCGAAAATGAGATCTTAAGTGAAGGATTACTCGATGTTATTTTTTACTATAGATATGTTGATGATACCATTGTCTGTATTAGAAAAGAACATATACAAAGATTTCTTGACACATTTAATAAAGTAGGTGGTTCCCTACAATTTACTATAGAACACTCTATTGATTGCAAAATAAATTATTTAGATCTAAAGTTGATTTTTGAGAAAGGCTATATTGAAACAAATTGGTATCAAAAACCTTTTGCTTCAGGAAGATGTTTGAACTTCCACTCTGAACACCATATCAACATAAAGAGAGCCATCATATTCTCACTAGTTGACAAAGCAATCTTGTTTTCTGAACAACATTTTCATTCTGAAAATCTAGATTTAATTTTTCAAATACTTCAACAAAATAATTACCCTTATGTTTTTATAAAAAATAATATTGACAAAAGAATTAAATTTCTAAACTTAAAAAATAACAATGACATTAATCTAAATGATCAAAATAAAAAATCTATTGAACTTTCCAGAACCATTGTAATTCCATATGTTCCTGACATATTAAAACCAGTATTGAATTTATGTAAAAAATTAAAAATTTCAACTGTTTTTACGACTCCATACAAGCTTCAAAATACTTTACTCTTATCACCCAAAGACAGAATACCCAAATTTGAAAAAACCGACGTAATATATGAGATAAAATGTAACGATTGTAACGGCGTATACATAGGCCAAACTATTCAGGAACTTAGAAAACGAATTCATGCTCATAAACATTCACAAAAACATAAAAAAACGAACACAGCTTTATGTGAACATTCTACAAATCTACGACACACTTTTAGTTTTGACCAAGATAAAATAAAAATATTAGTCATAGAGAATTTCTATAGGAATAGGAACTTGTTAGAGATGTATCATATAGTTAAAAACGAAAATTCTGTAAATTTTAGAACTGACATTGACAATCTCTCCATAATGTACTTTGACATTATCGGAACATTTAACAAAATGACATGAATATTTTATTTCTATTCTATTATATGCGCACTGTGAAACCGCCTTTATAAATTGACACTTGCACTTGTGAAATAACCTTATTGTAACTTCTTGAATATAGCGAGTGTTGTCTATTTCTTTTGTAGGTTAGCACATGTTTTTGTTGCTCTACCGCCAAAATGTTTTATTATTATATTTATTTAAAAAGAGATTTTATTTTAATTTATGTGTTAGTAACAAAATCTCTCATTATCAATATTATATTTATGAAAAATTTATTTTCTATTAATTAATCTATTTTTATGCGAATGGGTTATGTTGCCCATATATCATTATAGATAATTTTTTCGCATCATTGAAATGCGGTGAGTTATAATTATAAAAATTGAATTCAACTTTTGTATAATTATAGAATGTTTTAATTTACTATGTATTTATTGTTTTTAGTCCTGATGAGCTGTGTTCACAGCGAAAATGCATTCGTACAATGAAATAGAAAAATAATTCTATACTTAAACACCGTTTGTAATTATTTTGGACCCAAGGCCACAATCAAAAAACAGTATTTAAAATTTTGAAGAAATTGCGTTTATATTAATGATTAAAATTCTTTAAAAATTCAATTATTTTTTTAATAAAATTTACCAAATTGCAATTGTTTAGAAATTTTTCAATTCTATATAATTGAAAAACTATTATCTTTCATAAATTATTTTAAAAATATTTTTGAAAAATTAATTTTAAGAATTTTTTTATTATAATTTTTTGTAAATTAATTAATAACTTAAAAAACATGGACTGTTAGAATCATTATAAAGAACTGAATTTTTTTATTTAAATAATAAACAGATTTATTTGATAAAAATTAAGGTCCTGAAAACATTCCAAGTTGTATTTAAATAATTGAATTATCTAAGAAAATTTGCAAAAATTATTTAAAATAATTGATTTCGAGAATACGAAGTTCGATTAACAATTATTGTAGAAAATAATTAAATTTAAGAGAATAAAAGTTGTAATTTTTAGAAGTTATTAAATTTCAGAAGGTTTTAAATAGAAATTTTTTAAATTTTATTCCCGAATAAAAACAAACAAAAATTATTTTAATATTTATTTAACGAAATTATTCAAGTTTTAAATAATTAAATTTAGAAATCAGTGAAAGATGATAAGAATAAAAAATAAAAGTTTTGTGTCCACACTGAATTAAATAAACGACTTTTTTCTATTTTAAATCGACTAAGACGACTTTTTTTGCAGCTTAAAGTCGATCCGAGGCCTGTAATAATAATTTTTACACAAATTAATTCTATAGGGGAACATAGTCTAGGTCGGCCACCTTTTTGACTTTTGTTTATAACTTTTTTTAAAAAATGAATTTGGACAATTGAAGTATATGGTTGGAAAGTCCTGTTTAATAGGGACAGGTTTAAAAATGAAAAAGTTATAAAGATTAAAAAAAAAAATTTGTAGTCCAGGTTGGCCATTACAGTCAAGGTCGGCCATGTTTTAAATTCAAAGGACATTAATCGTTAAAAAATAAAATAACATGTTTGGAGTTACGGAAAATTGATTCTTTATTGTTTACAGCTTGTAACTTAATGAAATAACAAAATAATAACAATAAACAATATAAAAAAATAAAAAAAAATAAAAAAAAAATTTTGCACTGAAATATTAATAAAATTAAATAAAAATATTAATAAGATGATCAATTATATTATGAGTTATACAGAATTGCAGTTTTTGCAAATGAAGTAGCTCGTCCTCATCTTTGCGCATTTTAAGCACATAGTGGCCGACCTTGACAGTAAGTAACATTACCGAATTGTTGTAACCATAAAGAAATACGTTTCGGGATTCGATTTTTTACTTTGTTTTTCTTTCAACCATGAGTCCCATAAATTTTCTGCATACTTGCCTTGACGATTCAATTTGTTTTTATCTTTTATTAATGGTTTTTCACATTATGCACAAAACTTTTTTTGAGCTTTTTTTGTACCGACGTCACAGAAAACACAATTTTCGATTTTCCGAAAATGTAATTGAACAAAAAGTTAGGTTACACTAAGACAAGCTTCGACAAGCATGCGCGTAGGTGGCGCTAGTGAACTTGTCCAAAAAATCGCGATGGCCTACCTAGACAGTAGACCAACCTTGACTACATTCCCCTACATTATAATTGAATAAAATGTAATTTAATTAACTTTTTTTAATTCGTATCGATTAAATATTAAACCGATAAATCCTTGACAATTTAATTTTTACGCACGATAAAATATTATTTCATTATTCTTTATAAATTATTAACTCTACATCGGATTTTAAAAGTAAAAAAATTATTTATTGAAATGTATTTATTTCTGTAGAATTATCTAAAATTGAATTTAACGGCGTAAAATTATTGTTGCTTGCTCCGCAGCATTATTTAAAAGTTGACGAAACAACAAAATTTTCTTCTTTTGATCAATTTTTCCTAATTTTGTTCAAAACTTTTACTAGTACAAATGTGCACTATTTTTTTATTGTTTATACTCCTGCCCTATTGGCCTTACGCACTTCGACAAGAGTCCCCGAGAAATACTTTTTTGGATTAAGCATAACCAACAAATGTGCACTACGTAATTTATAAAATATAAAATCAAAAATTTAACGTTTTACTTTTTATTTAAAACTATAAATTTTATTAAACATAATAAATATTTATGAAATAATTAGTCTAAATTTGTAATTTACAAAATGTTTTTTCCTTTAAATGCCAAACTTCTTCAACCTAACAACATTTTTATAAGCTATTTTGTTTATTAAATCAAACTAATATATTTATTTAAAAATATTTACTTTTATTAGTATCTTGTTCAACTTCAAAAGAATGTGAATTGTTATCATATAAATAATCTTTTAATTCATGAAATATTTTTTTTCTAAAATATGTATGCTCCTTGTCCTCATTGTTGCACATTTCTTTTGTTCACTTTTCAGGTTACATATAGCGACGCGATATTCAACGCAGAATAGACCGTAAACCTGACGGGAACGCTTCCCGTTTGCTTTACGTTCATGTTGCGACTCTATTCTGCTCCGGCCTTTAGAAAAAATCCATCCGCCATATTGTGTCCGCCATTTTGAATTTTCAAGAACTGACTTCAGATTCGTAATCAGCGACCCCAAAAACACCTAAATACCAAGTATTAGGAAAATCCAACAATTTTTGAAAAAATCCATCCGCCATTTTAAATTCTTAATAACTGACTTCAGATTCGTTATCAGCGACCCAAAAAGCTTTTACATATCAATTTAAAAGAATATTTAATAATTTTAAAAGAATTTATGTGCCCGAGAGGTAACGATTTTTATAACACTTTTTTCCTTTTTACAATAGTTTAAAGACAGTATTTATTAATAAATGAAAAATTTCCAAAGTTTTTAATAATTGTTTCATAATCTTTGGATCGGCAGCTACAATTTGCAATTTGACCTATGTGTTTACGTTAATCTGAACAAAAGTTATTAATGAAAATGTTTCGACGAATATATTCGTCCTCGTGCATACGGTAACACTTTAGTTTGGACGAATATACTCTATGCGCAGGAGGGTTAAATTATAATATGAGTCTCCTGCTGGAAGTAAAGAGATAGAAATCCTATCCCTTTGAATATTTTTTTATCTCTGAGATAGAAAGAGATAAAGTTCCTCTATCTTAGTCTATCCCCACTTTATCACTTCAATCACTTTTATCTCTCCTTCTGTATAAATCTTTTTCAATAACCTTTACTTCATCTCTTTTAATACTTTCATTATCCACACCTATCTCTTTCTATCTCCAATTTCATCTAAGAATATACTTATCTCTTTTAATAATCTTGTTTCTACCCCAGGCTATCCCTTTTTTATTCCCTTCAATTTCTTTCTATCTTCCCTTTTTATTCAATCTCTTTTAATAACCCTTACTTTATCGCCTTGTATCCTCTTACTATTCACTTCTTTCCGTTTCTATCCCTATTTAAATCTCAGTCTATACTTGTCTCCTTTTATTCCTTCGGTTCTATCAGAGTCTATCTCTTTTCTATTAAATTTTAAAAAATTCGATTTTTTCTTTTTTCTTAATCTTTTTCAATAATCTTCATTATATCCTATTGAATCCTTTTTCAATTCCCAAAGATAACTTTTTATATCTTTTTCAATATCACTTCATACTTATCCAGTTTTATATCTCCCTACTGGAGGTCAAGGGATAAGAATCCTATCTCCTTGAATATTTGTTTATCTTTGAGATGGAAAGAGATAAAGTTTATCTCTCTTAATCTATCCCAATTT